TAAATAACTAGCGTCTGAATTCCTCCCCTCATTTAGTATTGTAGAGGTGTTAGGAATAGACAAGCATCCTCATAGTAACTCCAGAACTGAGTAAACACTACTCAAATTGTCTCCAGCTAGAAACAACAACTCTTTATACTTTCATCTATGTCCTTTATTTGACATGCTTATTTTTCTCTTTCTCCCCCTCCATTGCCTCTTAGTTATATCTACATATCTATATGCATTATAAATCATTTACTTCCTCTGCATATGAACACACACATACATATCTAAATGTGTGTTGGATTCATGTTATTTGTCTTGATTTCTTTTTTCCTTTTCATGGATCAGTAGGCCTTTGGTACATTCATTATTTTATACCTATTTTTTTACAGTACTGGAGGCAGAACCCAGGCTATCATATGTGTGAGGCAAGTGCTCTATAACTCAGTTACAATTGTGGTCTTCTTTATGGCTCCCTTTACAAATATGATTTTAGACACTGCAATAATTTTTGATATTTTGTGCTTGTTTAACCACTTAATGTTTTGCAAATGTGTACAGTAGATTGTCTCAGTTTCTTTTGCTTTAATGAATGAACATTTTGTTTCTGTGTACATCTTGGAGAAAATCTGATTATATTTTTGACTTATAGAAATAAAAACACTAATACAAAAGATATACTCTTTCACACCTGCTTTGGTATGTTTGTGATACTGTCTTCTAGACTGGCTTGCACTGGAGCATCATGTGACATTACCCAATTCACTCTATTTTTGTTCATACTAAATGTTAATATTTTCTAGAGGTCTTAACCAGTTTTTGATTAATAGTATATCTGTTTTATACACTTAGTGGTTTATTATATTCTATGAAGCCCCTCTGTGTAATTTTACCCAATATTATCTACTTGTTATAAATAGGAAACATTTAACTCAATTTACCTCTTATGTTTCATCTTTGCCCCCTTTGTTTCTATTGTTTATATATTTTGTAGCTCTTAAGCTAGTTGGCTTGTCCTCAAATACTACATTTAAATCTCTGTTGATTTATCAACTCGACTCAATTTGTATTGATCTCTACAAGGAAGACTAACAGGACTCAGGCATTTCATGTGTTCTCATTGTGTTTTCTCTCTTTGGGGGTTGAGCTTTTATTGCTTCTATTATTATTTATTATCACTTCATAAAGTTTTGCACATTTATTCCTCTAAATTCAATTAGACCTTTGAATTTTGCTACAGGTGGATTCTGAAAATTTAAAACCAGTGGGGGGTGTGGTGGCACAGATAGAATAAGATCTGTGGTTGGACAACCCAGTTGGGTGATGACAGCTCACAGTATTTCCTGAAGCTCTGGAAGGGGAAAGATCAAAGGCTCCTGATGAGGAGAAAATATGCAAGACCCTGATTGACTTACGCTGCTTCATGTGTTGAAACAGCAACTGTATCCTATTACTGTTATCACTAACTCACTTCATTTATTTTTAAGAAAAAGCAATAAGTGCATTTGCACAGTGGACATAGCAATATTATGTACCAAAGAATTAAAGTTGGTGTTTGGTCCCACAGCACATGAGTGAATACACAGAATTGAATATTTGCTCCGTGAGTCCCACTTCCTGCAGCAGCCTATTATATTAGTCTTGGTCTCTGACCGCTCAACTTCGTCATCATCTGACTTACGGGTTCATACATTCGTTGACCTATCAAATTTTAGCAATTAGGCTTGGTTTCCAAGTCCTCCTTTTCTATTACATTGCTTCATTTCCATGGCAGCCTGCTTGCTTCTCGGCTCATCTGAAGACAGTGAGTCTCAGCTGCCAGAATGACCCTTGTTTCTCATAGCAACTTCTGTTTGTTCACTTGGGGCTGTATTTGCTATCTGTTGCTGTTTAATGGCTTGCTCCACAACGATTACCACAATAAGGAACTCATTATACAGCACAGTCTCTGCAGGCCAGGTGTCTTAGTAAGGATTAGCTTGGTTGCCTCTGCTCAGAAGTTTCTGAGCAGGTCTGTGGGCTCCTCTGAATTCACAGCGTGGGGATAGTCTACTGCTAAGTCATATAGCTGCTGGCTGGATCCCCTTCCTTATGCATTGTTGAGCTGAGCCTCTAGATGACTGTGGGTAAGAGACCTCCCTCTGTTTCTATCTATCATGAGCCTCTGGATAGAGCAGTTTACAGCCAGCCTTCCCTCTGAGAAAACAAGCAAGAGATGGCAGCAAACCCAGCAAGACAAGAGAAGGCAGGCGAGATGGAAGCCAGAGTCCTCTGTGATGTCACCTTGGAAGTACCAGCCACTTCTTTCCTTCACTTAGTTTGTGGCAAGCTGCTCACAATAGGAAAATGTTCCCACAGGGTTCACTGCTGGGTACTCACATACTTTTCCTTGTTTGGGGCCTCCTTTTGTCAATAGTGAATGTCAGGACTACCCTAAGCTCTGTGTTCTCTCTTCTTGAGGGAGGTGACCAGATTTTCTACAGAGAACAGATCATGATCCTGGCTGTGATCTGGGGCTGTGGAGGAGGAGACTAACTTCTACGGGCCTCCTTCTGATCCCATGCTAGCTTCTGTTCTGTGTTTGGTGCTTCTCTTGGCCAACCGTGGTAAGAGCTGTCTCGTATTTCATGCAGGGTTCTACACCTTTGAATTTCTCTCCTCCAGTTTTCCCACCAAATAAGGTCTTCTCAGTCTTTTTTTTCCTGAAGTTCATAAAATACTTGGTCTGTTAACAGTGCATTTTAAAATATAGTTATAGTTTCATTCACTAAGAATAAATAAGTCTATTTTTTTCTATCATTTCCTTGGAACCCTGGAAAAGAATGCTGGCCAGAGTCAGTGGATGACTCTACAGGGGTTGTTCCTTTAGAGGAGGGAGTCTCAACCCTCCTAAAGCATGGGCCCTTTAATACAGCTCCTTTATTGTGGTGACCCCAATCATAAAATTATTTTTGTTGCTACTTCAAAACTGTTGTTTTTCTACTGTTATGAGTTATAATGTGAATATCTGACATGCCTGATATGTGACCCCCGCCAAGAGTCATGACCCATAGGTTGAGAACCTCTGCATTAGAGGAAGGAAGACTTATAAAAAGCCCTCCTCCTTCTTCCTTATTTTCACACTCTTATAGGTGCTTCGTCCTTCTTTCTAAGTTTAAGGGGCAAGTTCTAAGAGCAGGTGACTTGAGATTGCTGCAAACTCTGAGTTTCTCACCAACACTCTAGCACGCGTGATGTCAGTGCTAAGAGTGTCAGGTGATTCAGCTACAGTGTGACTTTAGCATGGACCCAAGACTTCTTAGTTCTAAGCATTACAATGCTATTTCAAAGTGGTTAGGAAGAGAATTTACTAGAAGGAAATTGCATGAGTCTCTGTAATTCTACTCAGATGTCATGAAAGGCCAGAGAACCCAGGGAGCCTCCACCTCTCTGTATGAGACATTCTGCTTGTGTTGTGTTTACTTTTCTGAACACCTGCTTATGCTTTCCTTCCACTGCAGATGTCCTGTGACTGTTTCCGGATGAGGGGGTTAAACAAGGTTGCCCAACAATGGTTTCCAGGTCCCTATCATCTCACTTAAAGCACACAAAGAAGGACTCCTGAAATTACACAGAGTAGGACTCCTTAAAGCACACATAGTAGGACTCTTGAAAGCACACAGAGTAAGACTCCTTTCATCACACAGGGTAGGGCTCCTCTTTAAAGCACACAGAGTAAGACTCTATGGATAAAACTTCTATTTGGTATAGCTTGCATCAGGCATCTCTTCTAGTGTTTGCTCACCATGATCTTGAGGGAGATTTTGTGATACAAACATAGCTTCAGTGGCTCAAAGTGCCAAAGAAAAGACAGGCAGCCTGGAAATTCAGAGGAAGTCCCTAAGGAGTCTTGTGTTGTTTCTCTGCTGAGAGGTAGTTTGGCTTGTGGTTAATAACATGGACAGACTTTGATTTGATCCTAACCCTGGGGTCAATATGCATTCTGAGAACCAATTCTTCCCCTGCTGATTGCAATCGTAAACCCCACCTCTTGTATTGCGGGGAGGATGTAACAAGAAAATGTGTGATACATCCTATACACCCAACAAGTAGTGCCTGTTACTAATTGCAAGTGTTATCATGCCATTTGGAAAAGGTTTGATGAAGAGAGGAACATGCATCTTACCACCCTGGCAGTGCAAGAGGATCTGATGCTAAATTCCAGGAACCTCAATACTGCATTGTCAGTAAAAAGCTAAGATCAGGTTTCCTCTCTGTCATGCTTGCCTGAAGAAATGGGCATAGGTGAGGTTACTGAGAGCAGGGCCCAAAAAGTTTAACTTTCTCTGTCGTGAGTGTGGCTTCTGACCGTTTTCAGTCTGTATCCCAGAGAGACTCCCACAGAGCCGGTGGTCTCCGTGAGAGTCAAGACAGACCTTGTTCTCAGAGTTGCTGTACTGATTCTGGTTTGGTAGAAGGTCGGTTTCACTGGCTAATGAAATACTTTGAATGGCATCCTGGAAGACTGATGGCATCAATTCAAACCACTTCGATCTCTTCCTTAAGAAGACACACACTTTCATGCTAAATCTTTCAGAATGCCTTTTGTATTTTTCTCGTAGTCATGTTAAAATTGCGGGTAGCGGCTGACACTAAATGGATTCTTAGTTGTAAAACACTGAAATTCTGGCCAGGCGTTGGTGGCGCACGCCTTTAATCCCAGCACTTGGGGGGGTGCAGAGGCAGGCAGATCTCTGTGAGTTCGAGACCAGCCTGGACTACCAAGCGAGTTCCAGGACAGCCTCCAAAGCCACAGAGAAACCCTGTCTCAAAAAACAAAACAAAAACAAAAACAAAAAAAAACCCCACTGAAATTCTGTACTATCGAGATGCCAGCTGTCTGACGCAGGATAGTGCGTGAGGTAGAACTAGCCACAGAACACGTGCGGGTACCCTCGTAGGTGTGTGAGCGCTGTGCTGTGTGGAGCTGTGGTAGAACAGCACTCCGGCGACTGACTGTGTAATTCTCTCTTAAGTTACGCGGACATTTTGATCGAGAGGGAAGTGCTAGTGCAGAAGTACATTCATCTGGTTCAGATTGTGGAGACAGAAAAAATTGCCGCTAACCAGCTCCGACATCAGCTTGAAGATCAAGATACCGAAATTGAGAGGCTTAAATCAGAGGTATTTCCCAGTTGAAGATTCTGTCATACTGTTTCCTGTTTTCTATTACTTCCTCGTGATTATCTGTCGAATATCCAGGAGAAAAATTTAATCTCATGTTCAGTTCTTCTGCTACCAACAGATATATGGCGGGGCTGCTGATCCAGACATGAACCCATTGTCTGCTTCAGGGTTAGGTAAATGTGTTGCTAGAGTATACACCTGACAAGCATGTTATCCTTTGCTGTTATTTGTGCCCCTGATGTCCTTCGTTAGATAAGAAGCACAATATATATGTATTTAATAGTTATCATATAGACTCTTAGAGTACCAACTGTGAGTCTGCCATGTAATAACTTAAAGTTCAAAATGATAACCAAGGAAGAACCAGATAGGAATTCCCAAATACTTTACTTCTAGATTTCCCTGACTGCAAAATTCTGAAAGGCACATTTAGGATAAACGAGAGGACACTGATTGACCATGAGACGTTTCTGCCTCACCCTTGGCCTCTATTCCTTCAACATGCACTTCTGGTGAGCCTCAGGGTGGCGTTACTGTTACGGGATGGAGCAGGCAGTCTTTGAGTCTATCGCTGTGGTGCCAGCCATGGTGCTGTGCCTGGCTTCTCCTTCTGCCCCAGGTCTCTATCTATGTGGAGACCTTTCCAGGCTGTCTTGTAGAAGCTCACAGAAAGTGAGAAGCAACTGAAGAATGGAGGAGGGATGGAGAGACTAGCTTGTCCCCTCTGTTCTAACCAGAGGTACGCCAGTGCCTCTTACACTAAAGGATATGGGTGTGGCATATGGTGTGTGGCACGTGGGGAATGCACAGACAGAAGTCGGGGGTCCTTGTTGGCAGGATCCTTAGCTTTGACAACTTCCTTGCCATTTTTGCTGTGCAAACATTTCCTTTCCGTTCTCTTACACGTCCCCGAGGCTCCCTGTGACAATGTCACCTCCTGCTCCCAGGTACACTGAGAGTATGCTGCTCAGCATATCTGGCTGGAGCATGGAGATGAGAACTCCTCGATGGTGAGCTGCCAAGTGTGCTCACTCTATCATTAGACTCATCAGCCTCGTTTGTACAACCCAATGGCTGATACAGTGAAAACAGCAGCAGAAAACGCAACAAACCTGCATTTTAAAGGGCTATATCAGGCACGGTAATTTAAAACAAAATTATTATGTTCTTTCTCTGCTCTGGTACACCAGAGCAAACGCCTGCTTACTGAGTGGAGCAGGAAAGGGTCTCTGCAGCAAGCGATGCTCCCGGCGTTTACGTGTGCGTGTTTATCTGTCTTCCTTATGTTTGCGTTAGTTAGAATACAAATTGCAGTGAAAAGCTGGCAGTGTTGTTTTGTTTTGTAGTCTTTTATAGCTGCTTACAGGAATTATTTCCTTCTCCGTCATCTTCCCATTTTCTAGGAGAAAACAGAAGTGGAGTGTATTTGATTTTGGGGACAAAATCCAAAGACAGGTCACCAGTGGTGGGGGAGCAATTCTGATCTTCTGACCTTTTTCGTTTTGGCTTCTCAATAATTATGTTTAAATTCTTAGGCTTGTGTGAGCCACAACTGAGGCCAAGCTAGAGAACTATACTACTGTGAAGGCAAGAGGCTACCTGACCTTAAGTCCCCCATACAGGTCACACGGGCCAGTTTATTACTGTCCTCTTTGTTTTTTTGAAATAGCCCTTTTCCACTGGCATCAGCTGACCCCAGGACTCTGAGGTTGCCATGGTAGATACGCTTTTCCAAAGGAGATGCATAAGGAATGTGGGATATGCATTTCAAGGACTACAGACTGAAAGTTTCTGGATATCTTCGTGGGTAGACTTCCTAGAGCACAGCTGTATACCACTGTTTTCCGAATCCTGGACTGGGCCTGTTTTGTGTTACAGATTGTTGCTCTTAATAAAACTAAGGAACGCATGCGCCCTTACCACAGTCATCAGGAGGATGAGGACCCAGACATCAAGAAGATTAAAAAGGTAACAACAGGTGGGAGGCTTCTGGGAGCATGGCGAGCAGTTGACTGCTCTGTGGTGGCGACTTTGTTATTGTGTCCCTGAGCTGGGAACAACCTTGGTGTTTCTGCTAATGGCTACCAGGCTGTCCCTTCCTTGGGATCCACACTGGCCTGGAAAATTTCAGCCTGAGATTTCTTTCCAGTTCCAGAACTTCCCTTTTGGGAAGAATGCTGCAAACACACATTTAGACAGCAGTGGACTCTATGGGGCTAATGCAGTGCTGTTGAACCTCCCGATTTTGTCACATTCTTACTTGGGAAGAAATTATATTTCTATATTAAAGAACAAAAACTCTAACCATATGTTGCTCAGAATTTGGAACAGATTCTTTGGGCTGAGTTGAACATTTTCAACTTTTAAGAAATAAAAAAGTAAAAATAAAGCTATTATTTTCCTAGCATTATAATCTTTTATTTGAACCTGTTTTATGGTACTGTGTTCTAAGATTAATGCCACTGCTCTTCTTTCAATAGTCTGCAGACGCATGTAAACAAGGATATTAACAATATCCAATTTTCAGCCAAATTGGACTGTTAGTAAATAAACGAAGCAGCTATTGTTCATCTGCCAAAGTGAATAGAAAAATTTAACATTAATTGTTGAGTTTTCCAAACCTACTTCTATTAAATAAGAGAACAGTAAAATGAAAAATATACAGTTTTGAACCTTTGTAATTCTCCAAAGAAGCAATTTTAAACCGATTTTTTAACTTGTTAATAGATTTCCAAATTAACTTTGCTTTTTTTTTATGTCCCCAAATCAAATAAACATCTATGGAAAGACTGTTTACAAATGAACCACTTATCTTCTCAAATCTTGGCAAAATGTAGCCTTTCAGCTTCAAGAGATGACAACTCAAAATTGCTTAAAATTCATGAAAAATGTTCCTTAGAATTCTCAAAATAGTATACATAGAATGTCTTCATGCAATTCTATTGAAATGTGCTTAATTTTTATTGTTTGAGTGTAGCAATCTTAACAGTCATATGGAAACTGATGCTGTGGTGTCAAAATCAGAAGGCATATGGCAATATCTTAAATGTCATAAAATTAAGTGCACGATAATTTATATCACATGGGTGAAAGATATTAAAAAGGGATGTTGAATAGGTAATAGTCATGTTAAGGGGATCAGGTAGGGAATGAACACTTTTCACACATGTGTGAACCTGAAATATGGCCCCTGCTGAGTCTGTTGTTTCTAAAATGCCACATCTAATTACTTATCTGCCAATTTTTATATTTAGATGGGATTTTTTATTTTAGGGTCCATTCTGAGGAAGCAGGATTGGAGTTCAAGGTGGCCCTGCCGGTTAGTGGCAGAGCCTTTGAGGGAACGATTGTGATACACAGCTGTTTTCTCAGGGTTTCAATTACCTGGGCATTTAAGAGATATTCAAGCAAGTGTTTGTCAACCAGTTACACCACATAGACTAGTGCACGTTTCCAGGTTGGCCACCTTCCTATTGTGCCAAGTGTCCATCTTAAGGGCTGTACGATGTCCCTACCAAAGAGATTTTATAGTAAGTTATTCTTTTAAAAGTTATTCGTCATTGCAAAGACTTCCATGTGTCTGCCCCACACAGCTGGCCAGAGGTTAAGGAAAGACTTGTAAAAAGACGCTGGCCCTGCCTGCAACTTTCCCAGCTACGTAGCTTATCTGAAACCTCGGATTGCTCATCTGGAGGAGTGAGCCAATTTCAACACTTGTTTTTCAGGCTTAAATAAGCAAAGCAACACAAAATGCAGCACCAATTAAAAAAATCAAATCAGCTGGTTTAAGATGGTCAAAGCACTTGAATAGAGCACAATTTAGATGTTTCATCAATGATCAGTAAGCTCACGAAAATATCACCAATCACTGGAGAAGGTGCAAATCAAAACCGCAATGAGACAGAACCTCACATCCATTAGGATAGCTCCTGTAAACAAAAGTTGAAGAAAATGACACATTTTGGCAAGGATATGGAGAAATTGGGACAACTGTATGATGTGGGTTGTAAAATGGTTCATAGACCTCGATGAAATTCAATACCACATTTTCCAGTAATTCCATTCCTAGGTATATTTCAAAAGAAATGAGAACAAGATCTGGGTCTCCAGGAGATATTGGCGTAGCCATGTTCATAGCAATACAACTTAGAAATTTGTGAACCTCAGGAAAACTGTTTAAAAACAATTTCCCCCCTGCTATTTGGTGAGAGCTCGCCCTGGGTTTATAGTACTGAAGAAAGCGTCAATGTGCCATTCAAAGGGTGGTGTCTGTACGTGTACCGTCCTATCTCCCAGACTCCTTCCCTGCCTCGTTCTGTAGGTTCAGAGCTTCATGCGAGGATGGCTGTGTCGGAGGAAGTGGAAGACCATCGTGCAGGACTACATTTGTTCTCCCCATGCTGAAAGCATGAGGAAGAGGAACCAGATTGTGTTCGCCATGGTGGAAGCCGAGTCAGAGTATGTGCACCAGCTCTACGTCCTGGTCAATGGCTTCCTCCGGCCCCTGAGGATGGCAGCCAGCTCCAAGAAGCCCCCCATTAGCCATGATGATGTCAGCAGCATTTTTCTCAACAGGTTTGCCCTTGCATAAATGAATAGTCTGGGAACAAGTCACTAGCACCTCTTGCAAACATCCCTATTTTAGTCTTAAAAGACGAGGTCTCGCAGAATTCAGCTTTGTGGTTCTCGTGCTGAGAGTGAGGATGCCATCCTTGAATGGTATTGTTAGTCTGCATTTGCATTTCTCTTGAATCTTGACATCTCATTTTCTCGGTTTGCATCTCTGTTTGACATTTGCCTTCTTGTTACTGTGTGGGGGTATGTATGTGTGGAAGATACTCTCTCTTACAAGCTGAAGCATGCTTGATGGGTCTTTGTGTGTAATTTACACAGAAGTGTTTTGGGAAGCATACAAACTAAGATGGCTCAAGAATCCTTGTTGAATTTATTTCTGCCATAAGTATTTGCAATGCCCTTTTTGCCAAAGATCAACTAGTGGACAGAGCAGAAACCCCCTGCCTTCATGACATTTACATTTTGCTGTGAGAACAGAAATGGACAGTGAATAAATAGGTCATATATTATCCAGTGGTCAATGCTGTGGAGAAAAATAAGACAAACGAAGAAGTGGAGAGAAGAAGGCTTGGGTGTTTTACTTAAATTCTAATTATTTATTTATTTTTGAGTAGATAATATACTGATATGATTCAAAAGTCAAAACAGTGACAGGGGACACTTTGAAGTTGCTCTCTCACACTGTCTTCCTCAGGCAGGCTGTTAGCATTTTGGAAACATGTCTAAGCGTGTGTGGATGACGGTATGGATAAGCCTGTGAACTGGTCTCTCTGATAGTGGCCATCCAAGCGTGCAGCCCTGATGACTTGCTTCCATAGGACTACTTGATCTAGATCACGAAAGACCAGGAGAACACTGTTTACATTCAAATGTGAATGTTAGGCCCCTTGATTGGAGGCTAAGACCATAAGCTCTTCATACCCAGCAATTGTTAGCATACCTAGTCCTAGATGGATAATTGAAGAGGGACGTTTTAAATGGGCAGCCACAATACAGGCTGTTTGTTGTCATGGTTGTTGTTCATCTAGATTCCCTTGTCTTTGAAATGAAGTCCAGGCAGGTCAATTATCTTGAATTTCAGCAGAATTTATACTTAAGAAAATGTAATTTTCCCCCGTTATGTATAACATTTGTTTCACCTGTTTTCTAACTCTGGTATTAAAATACAAAGGGGAATACATCAGTCAGTTAGGTTTTGATAGGAAAGAGCAGTCCCTCCCTTTCTAGAGGAAATCATTTGCTTAGAATTTGTTGGGGGAGCTGGGGGGGGGGCAGTAAAGCTATCCTTAGAATGTTGACTTTAAGAGCGTAGGACCATAAATGTGAAACCAAAGCACATTGGGAGTTTCCTGTCTCCTGACTTCAGGATTCATCTTGGTTTCCTTTGGGTTTCTGAGACTAAAACAGAAATTACTATATGGAGGCAAGTACATAGTCCATGGTATTGTGGAGAACATAGTTTGGAGGCCCTATGAGACTGGTGTATCATGTATGTAGGCAGTAAGACTTTAACCATTTGTTGGGCTTCTCACAGAACAGATACTTTATAGTTACTTAATGCTATTGGTTTTCATTTTTTTATAGTGAAACAATCATGTTTCTTCATGAAATATTCCATCAAGGACTAAAGGCAAGGCTGGCAAATTGGCCTACTTTGATTTTAGGTAAGTCATTTTTTAAGGATCTAGATTCCTGTTGAATAGTGAGTGTTAGAGTATGGTATGTGTTATTTGGCCTTGATCATCTAAACTTTGCTATTAACATATGAGTTTCCTTAGACAGTGGGTCTCTGTCTTGTTGTACTGGGCCATGTCTCAGTAGTTACCTGTTGATGCTTTTCCTTGGTCTATCATAAGTCCTGTGGAACCAGAGTCACATTATGCTGCAGGGCAAATTCTACCCAATCTGTCCTCCAGGCAGGGCAACTAGGGCTGAGCTGTGTGGGGCAGGGAGGTATTTTCTGTGGTGATTCGCCAAGCACCAAGGGAAATAGCTGTGTTTCCTTCTCTTTTCCAGCTGATTTGTTTGATATTTTGCTGCCCATGCTGAACATTTATCAAGAATTTGTGCGTAATCACCAGTACAGCCTCCAAGTACTTGCCAACTGTAAACAAAACAGAGATTTCGACAAGCTCTTGAAACAGTATGAAGCCAACCCTACCTGTGAGGGGAGGATGCTGGAGACATTCTTGACCTACCCAATGTTTCAGGTAAGCCACTTGGGACAGAGCTTCGAAGTTCCTGATCTAGCTCAGTGCTACCAACTATATGCCATCAATTATCTGTCTAGTGTATATGAGAAAATGGATATTCTGGTATTTTTTTCTAGTGCTGGGGATTGAACCCAGGGCGTTGAGCATGCTAGGCAAGAACTCTACCAATGAGCTATATCTCCAGCCCAGAAAGCAAGCATTTTTGAGGCAAATAATTGAGGGATGATTTTTTTTAGCAGCAATTTCTCTTTATAGAATGATTCCACACAGACCTCTTTCATGGAGTCTCCACCTCCAGCATGTTTAAAAATATTATTAGGCTCACAGAAATAGGATTCTGTGCAGATGCACTAGTTTATGCTGGTTGCATAAAAGTTCTCCAGGGACCAGGGTGGCTGCTGGGAAGTCTCTGTTTTCAGCTCTTCCTTCTGCTGCAGCAGGATTACTGTTGAATTTCTCTTGGCTGGAACTTTGGAGAACAAAACAAGGTTGTGAAGACATCAGAGTTAGAAGGCACTGGCTAGACCTCAGTGTTGTGGGGACCTGGTCATGTGGCTCGTCTTAAGGAAGGCTATACCCTAATGCTCATTCTTGGGGAGACACACAGGGTGAAGCACACATGTGCCCTTTCCCGCCTTTGGGCCTTTTCCTTGAAGTACCCTATCTTAAGGAGGTCCCACAGAGCCCCAAACTGGCATGGAGTCTCCTGTCCCTTTGGAAAATGTGGATTCTGTTCTTTTGGAAAGGCATCGAGTGTTCCTGTTGTGGAATTTATGGGGCTTCTGGTGAGGCCTCCAAATTGTCATGTGGTAAAACAATTCCTCTGGTCATGTGTGTTATGGTTATTGTGGAGCACTCTGTCCTCTGAGCAGGCAGCATTGACCCCGGATAACCATTTTGGAGACTCAGTAGGGAAAATTTCTGTGGTCCATTATTGTTTGTCTTAAGGCTTGTCAGTGCTGCTTGGAACCTTGGAAGTGGTCATGGTAGTTCAATAAGAGTCTTAAAAACCAGAAGGCTGCGTTTGAAAACACTTGCAACTTCATAATGATACATATATATCTACACACACACACTATATATATATATATATATATTTCATGTAACTATTTTGCTTGAACTCTTTGCCTCTCTGAGGAAATATTTCCCAAGAAAAATGACAAGCTCTTATTTCACTCTATTCATAGACACATATATGGAATTTCATATTTTAGTGACAATGAAGTGTTTCACGAATACATTGCTCTTCTGTGATGCTATTTGTTTGACCTCTAGGTTAGGACTCAGCACCCCAAACCACGTCTGTCAGCAGCCCCAGGTCAGGTGAACACAAAGGGAGAATTGTTCACGGTGCATGAAGCCCCTCATGCTCGATGTTACTTCCGCCTGCCTTTTAACTTCCTGAGGTGTGGTGTTCTCAGGGTTTTAATTTGGGGTAACTTTGCCTGCACTGTGGGCAGCCCCCCCCACAATGCAGTTGAATGCTGAGCTTTGGAGGGGCCTTCCTCTACCCTTCTCTTCCTTCCCCCTGCAGAATTTAATCCCAGCAGTCACGACTAAGCATTTTGATTCACTTGGAGGCATCCCCTATCTTGTCAGAGATGAGCACGGAGCTGGGCGTTTTGATGACACCTGATGTCTTGCTAAGACTTTCCTCTCATTGAAAGTGCCACAGTGCTCTGATAGGGGCAACTGAGTACTGCTTATCTCCAAGTGCTCAGATCTCAGACAGTGATCCCAGGTGGGTGTCGCTGGTTTGTTTGGATAGTTTTGGTTGGGTACCCATGCCATATTGTAAGGAGTCTAGGTCTACCTAGAACCTCCTCCTCAGCCCCAAACTGTAGTAGCTCTAAACCCTAAAACTGAGTTGAAGGGTCAGATAGTGATGGTCTTTGACTTCTTCCATAGTGAGTTAACGTGAAGATTTCAAGGCCCATTTGTCTAGAAGAATCTTCAAACCAGCCAGAATTACCCCAATTTTCAAGGGATGGACAGTTGAAAATGATTTTGAGTAATGCAAGAAGAGAAAGCATTAGAAATTGCTGCCCATGGGCCTCGTTTTTCCTGCGGTCTGTCCTTTGACTTCTTCACTTGGGGTCTCCCCAAGGAGAAACCATCTGAGACAACCAAAGGGAAGCACTCTTTCTAAACACTTGAAGTTTTTTCTTACTGGGCTCATCCAGTCCTTGTCCTCCTTCTCTTCATGGTCCCTCACTAAATGGTGAAGTCATCATGAGGGTGTTTGCACCCTCACAGGATCTGGAATGCAACTTCTTTCCTTGCATACATTGAACTGTGGTGGTCCCTCCAAGTCTTGACCTTGCTCCCTGGTAGTGCTAGGCATACACCACCCACCCACCCTACCCTGCAACAGTGGAAGATATGACCCTCCTTTGCACTGCCAGAGGACCTGTGGCCCAGACATGAGCTCAAATACAGAAGCAATGATTGGTGCTCAGCCAGAGGGAGGGGAGAGATTAGAATCAGAAGCTTTTACTCTGTTGCTTGTGCGTGATGGAAAAGATAAAGTGATAGAGTGATATCCTCTCTTTTTGTAATGCAATTTAACCCAAGGCTTCACACATACTAGGCAAGCTCCTGATCTCCATACCCCCAGCTTTCTTGGGGCTTTTGTTAAGTCAGTTGCTGCCTTGAACTATGAAAACAGGGAGGAATTATAGAATTGGGATGATTCAGTCAGAACTAGTACATGCTATTGTTACCAAGCAATTTGTTATAGAAATAGCAGTCATTACATTTTTTATTTAGCAAATGCAGGGACTTGGTTGGTACTATTCAAGCAGTCCCTGGGTGCTCATCTGTTTATTTAAGTGTGCATGTGTTGACAGTCCATAGGTAAGTCAGTCATGACATCTGTTGCCTCCAAGAGCGATGCTGTGAGATGTGCTCCAAGCAGGAGTCACTTGCTGCTCTAGCTAGTTATTAACCAAACCAGGAGAGCAAGCAAATTAAAGTCTATAACGTGACAAGTATTTGTTCCATTCTTAAAAGCAGAAATGTGATTCATTTTGATAGCTGCTGTGGTTGCTCGATGTTCTTGGGAAACTCTTTACAGTGAGCTCTTGAGTCCACAGACAAGCTCTTTGCAGACACTCATTTCTCAGCAGAGCCCCCTTTGCCTGCTCTCAACTGGAGCTAGCATGTATTTGTTCCTGTACCAGAGAGTGGAAAGGGCCAGTTACTGAATTCAGCTCCATCCTCTTGAACCTTAGCCAGAGAACTCGTTAAAATAGATTTAACTAATGGAGGAGGACCATGAAGCCATCTACTAAACATAGTTTTGTGGGGTTTCAGTGCATAGTAAGTAGTGAGGCCCTCCCACTCCAGACTCGTTAGGAAAAATTGAGTATATTAGCTGTTGATTGCTTGACTTTCTGTGGAAGTACTAACTTTTAGCACAGTCTTAGCTATTGTGGGATTGCGCCAACAAAAGGGTTACTTGTAAGCATCTACATTCCATGAGACTTTTCCAGTGACATGGTAAAGGATGTTCTGTTGAGGAGTTTACTGGAAGAGGCAGAAATCTTCCTTCATCTGTCCTTCAGTGAGACATCCTCTCATTTCCCACCCTTCTCTGGCCACGGGATCTGCCTGTGTTTCCTAAGACCTGATTCTCCCGTTGGGCTGCAGTAGTGCTCATGCTAACACTGCTGTCTATGTGAATACATGAAGTAGGCACTCATGAGCCAACAGCAATACCCCATGATGGTCACACAAGTGACCAGCAAAGACACATCCACAGAGAGGCCCACCAGCAACTAAGGACAGAGGGCACAAGCCACACACAGAGCCAGAGGAAGCTGCTTTCTGTCCTAATGCCTGCCTTAGGTAAGTTACTGGACCTCTCTGAAGTTTATCTTCTTACTTGCCTAGTGAAGAATTAATCCTTATGGTGCTGGAGGAGTGGATGTGTCCACAAAGCTCAGAGTTCTCCTGGGCCCGCAGAAAGCGGTGCGTTGGAGTGGTTGCTCACATGTTTTCTGAAGTGTAGCTCCCTGATTTCTAAGAGGGTGTGGAGGAAAGTATGCTGCGTCTGTAACTTGAGTTAAGCCTCGTCTTTGGTTTACTGAAAGTCTCATACCGAATTCAGAAACTGTAACAGAAGCACAAATACATAACTTAGTTAAACAACACTTGCACTGCTGGAGAGCGAAATGAGATGAAATAGGATCAGAACGTCTATGCAGGTGAACATATCCTTCTGGATTTCAGTTGTTGCAGAGCGCATTGTCAGGCTGTCAGTTTTTAAAAAGCATGAAAACAGCAGACCTTTAGAAATAGACTCAAGTGGACTGATTGCAGCAATATCTGCTTCCCCATGACCAGTCTGCAAAAACCCTGATTCCAACATCCATGATTATATACAAACTTAAACAATGGCTCCTTTATACCAGGTTTCTTCATTTATGACCAACTTTTCTTGCATTTTTTGGCATTGACTTTCTTAATGTATGAGGTTTAAAGATCAATTCACTCTATATGTGTTCTTTTGAAAAGCGTAAAACCTTCACAATCAAAAGGATAGCAATGAGTTTCTCTGAGAATGATGCCCTGTACATAGTTTTGTCCCCCAGGTGGATCTCTTGTTCACACTCATCTGTGTATGTATTTAGATCCCTAGGTATATCATCACACTGCATGAACTCCTGGCTCACACCCCCCACGAACACGTGGAGAGGAAAAGTTTGGAGTTTGCTAAGTCAAAGCTGGAGGAACTGTCCAGGTACGCAGGGAACTTGTGGGAAGGACAGAGTGGGAAAGAAACAGCATCTTAGCCTCCTGTATAAACCCAGCATGTGGGTTTCAAGGGAGAGGAAGCAAATGGTAGATACAACTTCTTAGATTCGTCTTCAAGTGAAAGAGATGGTGTAGAATTATCATTCACATTCATTTTAGTCAAGAAAAGATGCCTTTGAAAAGTTCTCATAACATATGAATTTATACAGTTGAGTTCTGATATATTTTGGTTAAGTTTGCAAATGTTCACTTCTTTTTTTAAATGGGAATAGAAAATAACTTTCTGTTACATTTTTTTGTATTCAGATTTTTCATGAAGCTGTAGAATGGGCAGGTTGTCACCAATACTATTTAGATTAAATGTGACAAGTATAGTAGCAGTCTCTAACTTAGTGTCTTCAAGGGGTGACACTTCAGTGTTAACAAAGGGAGCCCTCTGTAAAATGCTGGGTCTCTTTGCTGTTGCATTCAAAGCAAGCATTGCCACTCTCACTGATGGCTGGTCCCCTAGCCATTTTCCATCTGCTCACATAGTATGACCTTGCTTTAGGCTGACTGACTGAAACCTGAGGGACAGCCTTCTTTTTTTAATTTTTATTTTTAAAGGTTTCTTCACATGTCAATTCTCTCCCTTCCCCTACCCTCCTCCCATGCCCTCCCACCAACCCCCCAATACCCTCCATGGGGGTGTCCATAGTCTGTCATTTCATCCAGGACAGGGCCTAGACCCTCCCCCAAGAGTCCAGGATGAGCGTGCATCTCTCATTGTTGGATGGGTGCCCAAAGTCTATTTGTATGCCAGGGATAAATACTGATCTACTGCCCAAGGCCCCATAGATTGCCCAGGCCTCCTCACCGACACCCACATTCAGGGGGTCTTGATCAGTCCCATGCTGGATTCCCAGCCATCAGTCTGGGATTCAAGAGCTAACCCTTGTCAGGTCAGCTGTTTCTGGGGGTTAAACCAGCCCAGTCTTAACCCCTTTACTCATCAGTCCTCCCTCTCTGTCACTGGGTTCCTTGAGTTCAGCTCAGTGTTTAGCTGTGGGAGTCTGCCTCTGCTTCCATCAGCCATTGAATGAGGGTTCTGTTTCCCAGACTTTCTGGCCATGAATTGTAGGCTGATACTCCCCAGATCTATGTCTAAAATCCATATATGAGAGAGTACATGCCATGTTTCTCTTTTTGTGACTGGGTTACCTCACTCAGGATGGTTTCTTCTAGTGCCATCCATTTGCCTGCAAATTTCAGGATTCCATTGTTTTTTTCTGCTGAATAGTACTCCATTGTGTAAATGTACCACATTTTCTCTATCCACTCTTCAGTTGAAGGGCATCTAGGTTGCTTCCAGGTTCTGGCTATTACAAATAATGCTGCTATGAACATAGTGGAATAGACATCCTTGTTGTTTGAATTTGCATCTTTTGGGTATATGCCTAAGAGTGGAATTGCTGGGTCTTGTGGTAGGTTTATTCCCATTTTCCTGAGGAATCTTCATACTGATTTCCAAAGTGGCTGTACAAGCTGGCACTCTCACCAACAGTGGAGGAGTGTTCCCCTTTCTCTACATCCTCTCCAGCATAAACTGTCATTGGTGTTTTTGATTTTAGCCATTCTGACAGGAGTAAGATGGTATCTCAGAGTTGTTTTGATTTGCATTTCCCTGATGGCTAAGGATGTTGAGCACTTTCTTAAGTGTCTCTTGGCCATTTTAGCCTCCTCTATTGAGAATTCTCTATTTAGTTCTGTACCCCATTTTTTAATTGGATCCTTTGGTGTTTTGGAGACTTGCTTCTTGAGTTCTTTGTAAATTGGAGATCAGCCCTCTGTCAGATGTGGGGTTAGTGAATATCTTTTCCCATTCTGTGGGCTGCCTTACAGAAGCTTGTTGACTATGTCCTTTGCCTTACAGAAGCTTCTCAGTTTCAGGAGGTCCCATGTATTAATTATTGACCTCAGTGTCTGTGCTGCTGGAGTTATGTTCAGGAAGCAGTCTCCTGTACCAATTCATTCAAGAGTACCACCCACTTTCTCTTCTAAGAGATTCAGTGTGGCTGGATTTATGTTGAGGTCTTTGATCCATTTGGACTTAAGTTTTGGGCATGGTGATAAACATGGATCGATCCGCATTCTTCTACATGCCAGCCTCCAGTTATGCCAGCACCATTTGTTGAAGATGCTTTCTTTTTTCCATTGTATATTTTTAGCTTCTTTGTGGAGATGTTCATACATATATAGGTTAATATCAGGGTGTTCAGTTCGATTCCATTGGTCTACCTATCTATTTTTGTGAGGGCCAGCCTTCTTTTACTGTCTCAGTTAAATCTGTTCACGATCAGACCCGCGCATGTCAAGTGGTGCCGTGTTTCCCTATCTGCTAGAGCCATAGCTAATGTCTGTTACCGCCACCCTCTCTGCATTGCCTCCTACAGAGTGATGCATGATGAAGTCAGTGACACTGAAAACATAAGGAAAAACCTTGCCATCGAAAGGATGATAGTGGAGGGTTGTGACGTTTTGCTGGACACCAGCCAGACTTTCATCCGCCAAGGTAAGACCTGTTGATCAGACCCTTGATTTATGTGATCTGTGTGTCTGTCACGGTATCTGGCAGATGCAGGGACACGTTCTGGAGCAGGCCTAAGTGTTTGGTGCAGTTCATGCAGGACACCCCTGGAGCCTTGCCCGAGGCTGTGGTTGAGGTCCACCTCTGTGCTGTTTCTTTTCAGGGGCCATGAAAAACAGCCAATAATAGTAAAGCACAGGCGGGACAGTAAATCACACTCGGGCTGGACTCCCCTCCTCCGTGGACCGGACACTCTCTGCAGCTCCAAGGAGGACAGGTCGGTCTGGCCAACCTGAATGGCAGCGCCAAGTGGTCGTGCTACCCAGGCAAAGGCTTGGCAGAGACCAGCACTCCTCAAAGCTCTTGCACACAAGAGCGGTGACCGTGCCCAGAGGGAAAGTTGCTGTCTCCTGTTCCCTTTTCTCAATGGCACTTTGGAGTCAGTGCCACGTGATATAACTGAATTCATTCCATAACTCCAGTTACCAGGTGGAAAGGTCCCTCTCTGGCTTCCGAGACAGTGAAGCTATCCTGTGTGTGGCATGTGTAACACGGATAATAAATAGACCCCGACGCGGATGTTGGGGTTCAAGCTGAAGATCAGGGCAGCCAGCCATTAGCTCTCATCTCTAGCTCAGGCTTAAAGGGCTGATCCATGCATGAGCTCTTCTGAGACCTTCCTTCTGTCTTATAGACTTCCCTAGTGTTGGTTGAACTGTAATTCTCTTTTAGACTGATTCAGTCTTGTGTAGATCTGTGTGGCCTTGGACTCACAGAGATCCATCTGTTTCTTAATTCTGAGTCCTGGGATTAAAGGTGTGTACCACCACTGACTGATCTCTATAGCTTGAGGCTGACTCTGCTTTTCTGAATCCTCAGTCAAGCTTTAACAAATCACAAATAATATATCACTGCAGGCATATGCTTTGTCAGGGGCAACACCTGATTAGTTAAGCTTTTGAAGAGATGAAGGTGTGTTGCAAATGTTGAATAAGGACCAGCCTGATGATGTAATCCCTCCTCAGCTCCCACAAGAAATTAGTCTCATCCCAAGACATGTTCAATTGCTTCCATGTCCTGGGGGTGGGGGTGCTCCATGTGCTGGATCTGAGCCACCAGCAAGCTCTGCGGCATATCTTTATAGTTTTGGAATTGGTGTGTATTGAAACACAAACTTGGAACTTGATTAATCATTTATGCTGCTTTGGCCATGATGCACCAATATCATTTGAAGCTATTACTGTTTGCTTCCATAATATTCTGCTTAAAATATGTTTTACCTCATCAAATAAGGCATTATGCAGTCCACATTATTTTTTGCCTAGAATGATCAAAAAGATTAACACATGCCATTCTATTTTTCTGTTACTTATTTTCAAGGAGAGACACTGCACATATGCTAAATTTTGGAAGTTTGCCTTAGGAAATAGTTCTTTTCCCATTTTTGACACTGCATACTAAGGTGTGCCGTAGAATACAATGCTCACAAGACCAGGTCTTTCCAGTTCCTGTCCTACCCTTCTGTATGGCCGTGTCCCTATGGTGGCTGGCTTTCTGCCTCAAGGTGCACTGGCTGCCTGTGCCTTCACCTGTGTTATCACTACCTGGGAGTGGGAAAGACCCACTCTGCTTCTTTCGTGCCTACAAAAGGTCTACTTGACCTAGGAAGTCCAGGTCAGATATGAAGTCTTTTTGAAGTTTTCTCTTCTTCCCATCCACTTTGCCTCGAGTTACAGTGCATTGACTCTCCTCTCCATTTTTGAGGCCCTTTGCTCATGGAGCATGTCCTTTTGTGTGAAGATGTCTGTCTGCATGCCTCTCTCTCCCAGTAATTGCAAGCTCTGAAAGGCAACATCCCAGAATTCTTTTTGCCTCACCTTGTCTATTGAAGCTACTGGGAAAGGGGGCAGTGAATAGACAGGACAGTTTATTGATGGAAGTTGTAAGATATTTGTTTACTATCTTTCTTGTATTTAGAGTTCTCTAAAACAAAGTCTCCTAATTGGCCTGTACTTTATATCTAAGAATGGACAGAAAACTTTCACATACAATTTCTGGATGTACTTCTGATTGAACAGGGTTATTATCCACAGTACTCAATATATTTGTAAAACTTAGCCTCTTGTGAGTCTGATAAAAAAAACACCCACAAATAATGAAATGTTCTTGAGGGTCATTGAACAGGTGACATTTTGGGGTTACACTTTAAGAAGTATAAATCATATGCTGCTTCAGCCTTGAGGCCACAGCCATATATTATTTATTCTGCTATATGTTACATCTGAGGCAGGGTCCACCTAGATGGCCCAGATTGTCATTGTTATAGCAATGTCTGTGTGGTTAGTTACTTTATAGCAGTCTTGCTGATCTTGCTCTGTGTTTGATCTGGTTGCTCTATTTTGTTCCTAAACATCTGAACTTAATCTGAAATTAGAAAGTAATCAGTTATAATTAGGAAAGTTTACACTCTTTTTCTTTAATTTCTCCTATTAGCACCTTTACAAAATAGTCTTAACAGGCTTTAACATGCACAAAACACATTTTAAAAGTATTATTCATTAAACTTTCAGGGGTTTCATTTCCTACAAATTGACCACAATTTATTTTTAATGGTATTCTACTATTTTTATTAATCATTCCGATGAGTGATATAAGATCTATTTCAATATATGCGTGCTTGCATCTGTACATGGATATTTTTTAACTTTCTATGATTTCCAAGAGAGATAAATCTCCCTGAGCCTCAGTAAGGTCTCCTCAGAGTAAGAAAGGGCAGCACAGAGCATGGTGTCACTGCCGCCTCAGATACCTAGTTCAACAGCCTGAACATCACTGTTCGGATTTTCATTGCTGATTAGAATTTATAGCAGAGTCACTGGCTGGTCTTGGAGGCCATTCTGTGGGAATTAGTGATGGGAGAGTCAGAAGTCTTCTACAGGCTGTCTTCCACAGGCTGAGCTTAGTTGTTAGTTACCCAGTGACCAGGATGCTAAGGACAAAGCCACAGGAAGGACTCGTAAAGAGGGTGTGGTCATCTTTTCCCGAATACCAATCATTTTTCTAATTCACATTCACTAGCGAGGAATCTTTTCTGAAAGTCCCAAGGCTGTGTTTGAAATGTGTAAAACAAAAGATGGAATGTGAGAAAAACAACTTAAAACACAGTTTGAAGCATTTTATTTTATTAAATAGCTTATTTTATAAACTCTTTTAAAGTTGTCTTGAGATTTCTCGCTTTTAGTTTTAGTTGAATAGATTTCTATCCACATCTAATGCAGATTGTCTCCCTTTTGGTGACATATATAGTTTAATATATTAGTGTATGGTTGTCAAGGAAACTTTTTTAAACTTCAAAACAGAAATTCACAATAATTGCTAATAGATGTGCTAATCATACATTTTGTAGTTTCTGATTTAGAAAGTCGCCTAAATGGCTGGAACTCTTTGCCAATGATTGCATTGTCACAGAGTTTTCACTGACTTGGTTACAGCTTCTCTGGAAGTGGCTCAGTGACCCATTGGTTCACCAAGACTCTTACAGAGTGCTCCTTGCCACTCAGCTGCAACCAACCAGACTTCACAGCAGGACTACCCGGGGTGTCCCTCCCTTTGCTTTCAAGTTCTTAAATCCGCCAGTGTCTGACTATGCCCTGCACCAGTGTGTGAGTTTCTCCATTTGTCAAAAGCAGAGTGGGCTTAATTCCATTTCCTCAAGTCTCATGAGTTCCAACACTTGCTCGCAAGTTTCCTGAGCTTTCTCCCTTCCCCACACCTCCTCGACTCCTCAAGTTTAATTCTTTGCTACAGGAGCTGTCTGTCAGCTCGCTCCCACCCACCTGTCCTCCTTCAGCTGCTCTCCTCTTGTCCAATCCCTTTCCTTGGAGTCAAGCCTTCTCTCTGCCCTTTGTTCCCCACACCTACACCCTCCCCCAGGACTGGTTCCTTCCTATTCTTTAAGCCCCAAAGAGCTGCCTACTTTCTGCCTGTCAAGCATCCCACCTACTCACTCCCCTAAACAGATGATGTGAGGTCAAGGCATGGGAACTTGGATCCTGTGTATCTTACCAATTCTGCAAATGGGAAGATGCAATTTGGAGCATTCATAAGTTAATGTTAGTGTGGTGATTTTGTGACTCATGTGGTTTTATTGCCTTAGGTTTAAATTTCTTTGTGCAAGAAACTTTAGAATTTTTCTCACTATTCATTATGGAACTGATCTGTGCTCAATTAAATAAATACAGAAGACATGAAGAAAAAAATAAGGATGTTTCTCTGGGAGATGCTTCTGATAGTGTCTAAGGGTTGACTGTGTACTTTGTGGTTCCTGTGGGCTCATGAGAGCCTGTGTAGGGCTGTACAGCACAGTGGATTACACAGGTTGTTAATGACTCCAGTGATTTCAGAAGTCGGAACCAAGGTGTTTGCAAGAATCTTGGTACTTTGTGGTTGACATTTAATAGACTGGAGTTTTCTCTTAGGGACTGGGGAAGTTTCGACTAGCCCACACATGATTAGAGGGTTCCCAGACAGTGTGTAAATGTTGCAGAAGCCTGTGCATCACTCGTCATACTGAGTGAACCTCAGCTTTTCTCTGGGCATGGTTTACTTCCCATTTGGGCTTCACGATATATTTCAGTCACACTTTTTTGCATTTCTTTTCATTAGCATGTGTTAATTGTACAGAATGGGGTTCATTATATAGCTTATAATTTAAATACCGTTTGAAATAGCTTTTTTTAAAAAAATCTTAATTAGATATCATATAAATGTATGTATTTTTATAGGAGGCATGCAATTACATCATCTATTTTAAAAATGCAAAGCAAACTATTAACATGCTTTTTATTTTGTTTGCTCCAGGGGGGATAAATTCTACTCACATTGATCACACTATCATATTATTATCTATAATTACACAATTTATGAGTTTACTCAGTCAGATCATAAATGGCATCAGCATGTCAACACCTCGATTTTAAACTGCCTTCTTTCAAACTTAGCTTCCAGTTTATAGCTGAAGAATCAAGTCGAAATTGTTTCGCAACAGTGCTGGGCACAGCTTGTGCCTCCAAATGCAGCACGCTGTTTGCTTAACTAGAATAGAGGAGATTCATTTGTTCCAATGGCACGTCAAATACGTCCTCGGTGTTTTGGGAAACAGATCCTTGTGTGTATTGCCAAGGGCATGGCCCTCGCCAGATTTTAATTGCTATCTGTTCTTCACTCTTTTAATTGCCAGGCTCTCTTATTCAAGTACCTTCCGTCGAGAGGGGGAAACTCAGCAAAGTTCGTCTGGGCTCGCTGTCTTTGAAGAAGGAAGGCGAGAGGCAGTGTTTCCTGTTTACGAAACACTTTCTGATTTGTACCCGGAGTTCGGGAGGGAAGCTGCATCTGCTCAAGGTACAGGCTTTCCACATCTGTTTCATTTGTCTTCCCAGCACTGGGGAGCCGCAGAGGTTAATGTGATTCTGCCGTTCCCGTGCCTGCTGTTGTTGTGAAATGGACGGCTGCGATTGGGCAGGGAGAGGCCGTATGTGCCCACCGGCTCCGGCATTCATTTTGTCATTTGGATTCAAGGAATTAGAAATGTATTTTAAGTGTGCATCACCATAAGGAAGAATTATTAAAATCAAAATCTAGGCAAAATATATTCACTTGAAAACTCCTGGGTCATAGATGTCTTGTCCATTCACCACCGTGCACTCACAGGCGAAATATTTGGCAACTGCTCTTTTATCTGACTGTGTACCAGGAACCGTTGAACTACAGTCTGAAGCTTACTACCCACTCTTACTGATATCATTTTATTTGCACATAACCATGCCTGCCCATGGCTGCTTTCTCACTAAAATCACATAACTGAGTAGTCCAGATGTCACTCAAGGAACCCAAAATGTTTCCTATCTGACCTTTGTAGGAAAAGTTTGCCAACTTGTTATTTATTGATCTTCTGTTGTTACTTAAAAACCTTATTCTCCTGGCCAGCCAGATGGCTCAGCAGATAAAGGCTCCTATCACCAAGCCCTGTGATTTGAGTTCCGTTCCCGGGACTCACATGATAGAAAGAAGATGGAATAGCATTGTCTTCCCCCACACACACATGCACACACACACACACACACATATAATCAATAAGTAAACTATAAAACAAATGTAAAAATCTGATTCACACCCTGACAATGGCCTTCTATTTCCTATCCTAAAGCATTTCCTGGCTGTCCGATCACAGTGCCGGGCTGTGGTTACTCTCTGAAGTCACTTGCAGTGTCATCTAATCTCCCACAGATGGCTTTAATAAAATTTATTAACAATGGAGGCAAGAGTGAGAGAGTGGGAAGAATTCAATTAAAGTAAAATGGTTTTAATTTATTTGCTCTGTTTATTCTGTGAAACACTATTTATGATGCAGAATTGCCATCTCTGTGGCAGTCTGAATACTAAGTTTGCACAGCAGAACTTCCCGAACTGCACAAGACTGCCTGCCTCTTCATCACGCATCCATTTGCTTCCAGACAGGTGGAGTCCTCTCCCTCATAGAATGCACATTGATTGAAGAGCCCGATGCAAGTGACGATGACTGTAAGTGACATCTCTTGGGACAGTGGTAGAATAAAACAGTCAAGTTCTGTAGATCTTTGTCTTACGGAGCTAAGGAGGGCCGCCCATGGGTGGCAGAAGTGATTCCAGGGCAAAGTCTTTAAAAGCCACTTATCTGTTAGACCCGAGAGCCTTGTTAAACCATCTTTGAGAACTGACATTCTGCAGTGCTTGTTCATGATAGCAGACAAGGAAGAAAGGGGGTTTGAACTAAACCAGGATTTCTATACCTGATGGACATTAAAATAAGCATGAACCAGGGCAGTTACCTTCTGCCCTCATCTTCTCTACCAGCTCACATGCTAGGCCTTCCGTGTGCTCCAGAGGCACATTGCCCAAATGAGAGTCTGGACTTGAATGCACGTGGGTCCCGGTATGAAGGTTGGGTGGGAGCGGCTGCCGTTCGTGTCTCTTGCATTCATGTGTAATTGCTTGGTTTGCTTGTATTGAAGCCAAAGGCACTGGCCACATGTTTGGACATCTGGATTTTAAAATAGTAGTGGAGCCTCGGGATGCTGCCCCTTTCACTGTGGTCTTGTTAGCACCTTCGCGCCAGGAGAAAGCTGCATGGATGAGCGACATCAGTCAGGTAACCAAGCCGCTTTTCCCCTGATGTGTATAATTCTTCAGCGTAAACATCCAGTGAGGGTTTCTACAATAGCCACATGCCTCTAAGTTGCATTGTCCCTACTTTGATGGGCTGTTAGCGTTTTGCTGTTCTTTCTTTGTTAATGTTTACTTAAAATGAGGCATATGATCAGTGCCTTGCTCAACCATTATCAGAGAAACTTCCTCCTGCAGCAGATGGGGACAAATGTAGAGACCCACAGCCAGGCATTATGTGGAGAGTGAGAGGCCTTGGAACACTCAGCCCTTAATGGGATGTCTCCCTCAAATCCCCAGGACTCAGGGAACCCTATGAATGAAGAGCCAGAGAGAGAGAGGGGAAGGAGGTCACCAGAACAGAGCCTCCAAATCAACATGAGCAAGCCTCATATGACACTCGCATGGCCTGAACTGGTCTGCACCAGGTCCTTTGCATATATATTATGGCCTCAGGTTTAGTGTTTTTATGGGATTCCTAAGTGTGAGCACGTGTGGGTCTGTTTCTTGTGCCTTCTCTTGGGCTCTTTTCCTTCTGTTTTTTGTTTTGTTTAATTCTCATGATTTAGTTTTTGATCTACATCATTGCATTTTATTATTTAAAAATGTAATTGCATTGTGGTTCCCAAGCTTTCTGCACCAGCTGCAACTGTGGTGAACAGGGTTGAAATCGTCCTGTTAGTAATTTCCAGTGACTCCAATGTCTGTTTTCACTTGTCTATTTCTGAAATAGGAAAAGGATGAGCAATAGGAAAACAGCTATCAAGGGCTGTGGTGAAAATTTGCAAAGTAAAGAACCAGGGGAGGCAGCATGTTTAGGATGAAATCTGGAAATAGCTTCCTGAATTTTACAAAGAAAAAAATTAGGAAGCTGGGTGATTTGCTCTTTCTGCATCTGCAAGGCTCAAGCAGGAAAGTGATGCACTTATTTAGGCGATGACGTCACTTGGAAATATATCAAAATAGTTACAGCTGGACTTGATTCCTGCTCCACATGGATTTTGGCTCCACTTACCAATGTGGGGGGAAGGGCTTGTGTCTAAGGAGGATTACTGAGTGAAGTGTGGCAATTTGTACCTGGAATCTCAGCTCCACAGGAAGTGGAGGCAGGAGGATTGCTTGAACCTAAGAGTCCCAGACCAACCCAGGCAATTAAGCAAGAACTCATTTCTAAACTGATTAGTTAATTAATTGATAAAATCTTTAATTAACATTCAGCATTTACTTCCAAAGTTGTCATTTGAAGATTAGGGCAAATGGCAAAGGCATTCATCGTCGAGTTTGTTGCCTTCCTTTTTTCTGAAAAGTTCACAGCGATTTTCTCATAAGATGCAAATGGAGGCATACACTAAGGTCACAGTTCTTCAGATCCCTAAACTTTTGAGTGACTAAATACTGAGAGAGCAGTAGACAGTGCCTGACCATGAAATCCAGTTGTATTGGTTAAAACAGTTTTCTAGTCTCACTCTCATTCTGCCCTTACAATAGTATTTTTAAAGCAGAAATGAATACTGTTGCCTTCACTGTGCAGGTCAGAATGGGGTTTGGAAATCCACATTTGTCAGTTACTCAGCTGCATGGAGACGGTGCCCAAACCTCAGCCAGGACTTCTTGTTGGTACTAAACACACTGTGTGGGTTACTTGTCTATCCCTCAGACTGCTTTGTTGGTGGGTAAATAGTTAGAAGAGAAGCTGTGTCTTTCCTGGCTTCAAAATGGATGAAAATATGAGATCTTCCTTAATTTTTGAACAAAATTATAGTCCTACGATGGCTGATTAATACTTTTATTATCACTCCAACCTGCATTAATACTTCAGTAAACCTCTCTTATTTGTAAAGAATCTCTGAGCTTATTAAACTCTAGATCATTCTTTGATTATTCAAAGATTTTCTGAGGAACCACCATATGCAGCCAGGTGTTGTTCAGTATGGTATATGGTATTGACCGACTCTTAGGACAGAGGAGGAAGGAACTCCCGGAGTACACACAATTTGGTACTGTTGAGAATCCAAGAGGCAAATAGAGATGGGGAAGAGGAAGAACAGCCAGATGTTTTCCAAGTGCTTCAATCTTTTTATGATGTAACCGGAGCATGAGTTGATCATAGTCCCCTAACCTTCCCTATGGTGCCTAGTGGGCAGGTGGGAAGGACCCCTGGAGTTCATGAGGGATTCCATGCCTGGTCTTTTAAAGGATGGGACCCAAACTTTTGCCTGCTAGAAGCATCCAAGTGAGACCTTCTTTCTACATAGACCGTGGCTTGAAGCAGAAGTGTACAGCGTCCCCCTTAGTCCCTCCAGGTGCAATAGCGGGGATATGCCTTAGTACAAATGATACTGATTTTATCTGCAATTGAAGAGCATTAATAGAAAGTTATATCTCTTCAAGTGGCAGTGAATCAATGCATTAAATTACTGTCTTCAATGATGACTTGTCATCATGTGACCCCACAGTTTCATTCATGCAGTGTTACTTAGCCAAGTGCTATTCTAGCCCATTGTGTCATAAAGTAAGAAAAAGAGGAGAGGGCAACAAGACGTTCTCTGATATTGACTACATTGTTTGGTAAGAACACACACACACACACACACACACACACACACACACACACACACACACACACACACGGCGCAGTAAATGGAGATACCATGTAGACCTGTGATGAAGTGAAAATCATTCCAGAGGGAGGAAGACATCATTGCAAAGGCTCTAAAGTGAGAGAATGCTGTGTCTTAAGGAAAGCCATGAAAGCCAGTGTGACTGAGCTGGAGAAAATGGAAAATAGGTCACAGGTCCAGATCAGGGAATCAGTCTATGGCAGGGGTGGGGCTTTAGTTTGTACTTCAAGTCAGATGAAAGCTATTAAGGGATGTGAGCACATGGAGTTCACAATTTAATTTAGGCCTAGGAAGATCACTTCAGGTATTGTGGAGAGAGCAGATTAAGGTGGAGAGCCCACTGGCACAAGGGAGGTAAGTGAGACCACCCCTTTAGTCACCAGAAAGAGGTGTAGAAAACTCACACAGTCTAGCAGCAGTGGAGCTGGCCACAGGGGTTCTGCTCTGCATTCATCTTGAAAGAAAGGCCAGTGAGGTTTTATCATGGAGGAGAGAGAAATGTTGAGTCAGGGAAGGTGAAGGTTAATGGCCTAAGTGACTGCAAGAATGCAGTTGTCAACAACTGAGATGGGAAAGTCTGCAGGGGCAAGATTTTGGGGTGAACATGGGGTTAGTACTTAATCATTTGTACTGGCCCGCCTTTGGAGTTTTGACAGGATACGCCCTCAGCTGCAGCCACTAAGGGCCCTACCCATCTCCTATCCCTCTCTCTCTCTTTCTTTCTCTCCCTCTCTCTGTATGTTCCCCCCTCTTCCTCTGGCTCTCTTATCTCTCTCCTGCTGTCCCCAGAGGCTGGTCTCCCTCCCTTTTCCCCCTTTTATGATCCTTTTCCCTTAAAATAAAACCCTCTGAACTCTGTTACATGGTGTCTTTCTCTTGTGTACCACTTTTTTAAAAATTATGTTTGGGTATGTTGAGTCTGTGAAGGCCAATAGATAGGTAAGAGGAGTCCAAACAGTATGGCACATGGATGCTTGGGCTTTACAAGAGATACCCAAAGGGGAACCTACATCATTCAGGTGCTAGTTTATGCTGTGAGACTTTTAAAATCACTTGAGAGACTGTTGACTGATGTGAGAAGATAGCCCTGTGATGGAAAAGAAGCCAAAGGGAACAACAGAAAGGACCAAGGAGGAGTCCCAGAGATAGTAGAAGGATGGTCAAAGCTAAGGATGCATCCTGGGAGCCAACCAAAGAAAGCTTGTAAGGAGGAGGGAGGGGTCCTAGGTGAAGTTCTGCTGGAGCTGGCAAGGACCATGAGGGTTCTGAGGTGCCTTTTAATCTTGGGGTAGAGTTTCTGTCGATTGAGCTTGACCTACAGCCTTCATGTCCATTTCTCAACTTGATTCATGCTGTGCCTGAAGCATATTCATTTTATGGGAGAAATCATACACATGTGTGGAATTTGTCAGCATCACAAGTATAACTGAACATATTTATTATTTGCAGAAGGGCCAATCAAGAGCTTGAAAATGTCTTCTTTAATATTTATTGTGTGTGTGGAAAAACCTGGCCACAACGATGAACTAGAAATAGTCCCAACACACAGTACACCAAAGTGTTTTCTACATGTAGCCTATGTTAGCATTACTGAAGGAGTTTTGTTCAAATGCATCATTGAGAACCTAAGTCCCAGATAACATTGGAAATACCCTCAACTAAACAAGCTCTGTCGACCACTTCTTCCCAGTTACATTACATGGCCTCTGCCCTGAAGAATAAACTTTTTCTGCCTTTGAAGAATCTAAATCCACTAAAAAATTATTTTCCAGTTTGGCTTCAGTGAGAATTTATTATTATTATTATTGACTCATTTACTTCTTTCTATATTCCTAGAAATTCTTCACATCTGTTCTTTTAATAACTATGTGTACATATATGTAATACATATATATTCTATCACAGTTCCTTTTTATAGATTTTTCCAAATAATTGAGTATTTGTGCAATTTCACAGTCTTAGGACTAATACGTAATGTGGTGCTTACTTTGTAATGCAATCTCTCCCCATTTCCAGGTCCCTCGCTGATAACATTCCCCAAAAGAGTATAAGGTTGGCATAGAGGCCATGATGGTTTAAATGATTTCATTTTATGAATAATGTTTGGCCACATTTCCTTCAGGAAATATGAAAATCAGCTGCATCAGGGGATATAGGTAGAGTACCTGCCTCCTGTGGTTGGTATCTTGGGTTGAATCCTCAATATCACTACCACCACCTCCAAAAGTAAGCCGTTATTCTTCATGCTATCAATACAGTATCTAAGTCACTAAGTCCTGCCAAATGCCAGCATGGCATATCACCCACCACATATTCCAGATTAACGGAAAATTGGGTTTGCTTTCCAGTGGTTTTAATTCACATC